GAGTTATATTGGGAGATGTAGTTTTCTGATTAACATAAGTGATGATATAATGGAGAACAGAGAGGTTTGACATGAAATTTATTGCCTCTAAAAGTATTACCCATTTGGAGGTGTGCGAACACTTGATTCTTCAAGTGGTGTAAACATGGATTCTCTGAACTCTAGGGGGAGTGGATAAACTACCTTTTTTCTCCCTTTTAAAATAAAATAAATTTTTACTTCTGATCATAGCACGAATATATTACATATTGTGAGGAATTTTAAAACTTCTGAAAAATACAAATAATAAACATCAGTGCAACCCATCGATCATCTGATTCCCAGACATGAACTTCAGCCTTTCAGTATATTCCTCCAAGCTTCCCTGTGCCTTTTAAAGCTACTGTTTCCTTTTTCCAAAATTGGGATTAGACTCAAAATATCTGTGGCCTGCAGTTAAGAAGTTGTATAAAGAAGCAGAAATCATTGTAACACAAAAATACTCACTGATGAAGTGATTGACTCATTGCCATTCAACGTCCTTTCTTTCTTCAAGCTTGAACTTATTTCCACCAATTCAGCTACTGTCACTATCTCTGTGCTGTGGGATATTATAATGCAGATGGGGGAAGTTACTTCTTAAGATCAGTGAAGGATGTTGCAGATCACTGACAAGTCTGTCTGTGTTGGACCAGTTGAAAAACTGATGAAGAAAAGAATCAATAAAGATAATGAAAGGCTAGGCATTCAGAGAAGAGTGATTGAATATAATGTAATATTTAAAGCTGAATATAAGATTGCCTTTTAGGAACATTGATGTAGCTCCCATTAAGTGCTGACACCATGATGGTGCCATGCAAGTCAAGATGAAACAAAGGAGGTGATGTGCTATTATGTATCACTGTGATAGAAGAATTGCATTCTCTTTCAGCAAACAAAAATCCCACTGCTTTTATTCATTCTTTGATTTAGTCACTCATTCTATGATCTGTGATAACAAGGAACACCTGTATTTAAGTTTTTCATAATTCTCTAGACTTTTATATTTGCTACAAGAAATAACCAGATAACCACATTTTCCTACCGAGTAAGCATATGCCTTAGAAAAGCTATTATAATTTTATCTGAAATTAAGTACATGCTTTAAAAGACCTATAAGCAGGCCAGGCGCAGTGGCTTATGCCTATAATCCCAGCACTAACTTTAGGAGGTTGAGGCGGGTGGATCACTTGAGGCCAGGAGTTCGAGACCAGCCTGGCTAAGGTGGTGAAACCTCGTCTCTATTAAAAAATACAAAAATTAGCCGGGCATGATGGCAGATGCCTATAATCCCAGCTACTCAGGAGGCCGAGACAGGATAATCACTCAGGAGTTTGAGAACAGCCTGGACAACACCTGGAAGGTGGAGGCTGCAGCGAGCCGAGATTGCACCACTGCACCTCAGCCTGGCGACAGAGCGAGACTCCGTTTCAAGGGGGAAAAAAAAAAAAAAACTATAAGCAGAAATCATAATAATAATACTTCTTAAATAATTTTTAACCATTTTTAAGTCTTCACAGTTCAATATATTAATATAAGGTACCACTTCTCTTCTGCAATTCTTCAGGCCACATTTTTCACATTCTTCTCACTCTTTGATACATGGATAACTGGTGACTATTAGGTTGGTGTATGCAAAGTATCTTTGCTAATCTGCTAAAATGGGTTTTTAATTATATGCTAATTTGTGCCTTTAATTGTCCTAGTTGTCATACAAATTAATCAGTTTCTGGAGCACTTGTATTTGCTCTTCTCTGAAATTCCTCTCACATTTTACATGCACTTGAATCACCTGGGGATTTTGTTAAAATGCAGATTCTGAATAGGCATGAAGGTGGTAAGGGGCCAAAATTCTGCATTTGGCACCAGTTCCCATGCTATGCCAGTGCTACTGGCCTTCAGACTATACTTTGAATAGCAAGGCTTTCAGTAACAGTTTTGGGACCAGAAGCCAGGCAAAGCCTATTGAAGCCATTTCTTATTGTGATAAGTTAATGATACATGCCTAGCTTATTAGTAATGTATATTTTTCAATTAGTGATATATATGTTGAATTATGACTTGCAGTATGTGAGCTTTTTTTTGTAATTTTTGTGTCAGGCATGTTATCTACAGTGGTGGTATTTATAGAGAACAGTGTTGACAAACTCTGTAAAAATACTTAAAAAAAAAAGGTTTATTCTAAGACAAATATGAAGGACCATGGCCTGAGACAGTCTCAAGAGGTCCTGAGAACATGTGTCTGTGGTGGTTGGGTTACAGCTTGGTTTTATACATTTTAGGGAAACATCTTACGTCTCAATCAATACATGTGAGGAATGCATTGGTTTGGTCTAAAAAGATAGGACAACTCAAAGAGGGGGCTTACAGGCTATAGGTGGATTCAAAGATTTTCTGATTGGCAGTTGATTGAAAGAGTTAAGTTATCTGAAAACCTTGAATCAATAGAAAGGAGTGTTTGGTTTAGGTTAAGGGAGTCTAGAGACCAAGGTTCTTATTATGTAGATGAAGTCTCATAGGTGGCCACTCTTAGAGACAATAGATGACAAGTGTTTCTTACTCAAACCTTTAAAACATATAATCCTAGCATTTTGGGAGGCTGAGATGGGAGGATCACTTGACCTTGAGTTCAAGGCTAGCCTGGGCAACATAGTGAGACCTTGTCTCTATTTTTTTTTTTAATTAAAAATAAAAGGTGCTAGAGAGACTGGGCATGGTGACTCATACCTGTAATCCCAGCATTTTAGGAGGATCATTTGAGGCCAGGAATTGGCCAGCCTGGGTAACATAGCAAGACTGGCTCCACAAAAAATCGTAAAAATTAGCCAACACAGTGGTGTATGTCTGTTGTCCCAGCTACTCAGGAAACTGAGATGGGACGATCCCTTGAAGTCAGGAGGTTGAGGCTACAGTGAGCCATGATCGCACCACTGTGCTCCAGCCTAGGTGACAGAGCAAGATACTGTATCCAAAGAAATAAAAATAAATAAATACATTAAAAAGGTGCTAGACTCTCAATCTCTTCAGGACTGGGAGGGTCTGGAAAGGGAAAGATCTAGTTATGTTGTAGAGATTCAACAGATGCAGATTTTACCCCCACAAAAGAGCTTTGCAGGGCCATATCAAAATATGGCAAAGAAACATATTTTGGGGTAAGATCTTTTTATTTCCTTCTTTATCAGTCATGTGATGTTATGCCAGAGTCAGGTTGGAGAGTAAGCCACACTATATAGGGTTGAATAAGACCTATCTGATGAGATTTTATAGTTTAAAGGGCATGAGCCTGCAGGCCCTTTAGATAGGAATTTGGGCAAGAGAGGAAAACAAAGATCAGAGTTTAGTCCTCAGTGATAACATACCAATGATGATATAATAGTTAATATGTATTGACTGCTTACTGTGCCACAGACACCATGCTTTACAAAGGTTAACTAAATTTTCTCAATAAAACCATGAAGTAGATGTTATTATTGTTATCCTCATTTACAAATGAGGAGGCTGAGGCCAGTCAGAAGGTAGTGAGTTATCTCAATCGATTGTTCATGTCAGTTACAGATCAAACTCCTTGTTCTACTCTTTTCCCTTTTCTCACTACTATACTGGGCTAGTCTAATAATAACAATAATAATAATAATAATAAACAAGTTTAGTGACTTGCTCATGATACATAGCCAGAAGAGGACAGAGCCATGGCATCAACTCCAGAGCTTGTACGTGTAATTTCTTTACTAGTGTAACAGTTCAGAAACTATAGACTTTATATGACATGTATATGAATTCCCTAGGTTCTTACACAGTTCATGTAAGACAGAGTTGAATTTGCTAGCTTTTTTTCCCAAAAGGCCTTTGAAAAGCAATTTTCCTTTTCCTTAGGTTTTCCTTTCTATGACTTTGCCATAGATACTGATAATTTGTGATTCCTTAGCAGTTATTTTTAGTTCTCCATTCTTCCTGTGTGTTAATTTGTGCATTTGTGAAAAAATATCTCAACTTTCTTATTCCTTTGCTGCAAAAATTTATGAAGAATGAAAAGTAGATAATATTCTGCCCTGACTGAAAGATAAAAGTATTTTTATTAATGCTGAGAATTTGTTTTCTGCCAAAGAGTAACCCAGGAGAATAGACAGATTGTTGCGGAAGACTGATTGAATTTTTTTTTTTTTTTTTTGAGGATGGATTCGCTCTTGTTGCCCTAGGCTGGAGTTTAATGCACGATCTCACTCACACACCACCGTCACGCTATGCCCCAGGTGTCGCCAAGGATCATTCTGCTTCATCCTCCGAAGTCAGCTCGGTTCACAAGCCTTGGCCACCCATGTCTGCTAATTTTTCTATTTTTAGTAAACACAGGTGTTCACCACATGACCAGGCTTGCTCCTCAGATTCCTGCCTCCAAGCGAGTTCGCCTCTGCCTCAGCCATCCCCAAAGGTCTGGGATTAAAGGGCATACGACCGCCGGCGCCCTGCGCTGTTCCTTTTTAAAAAAATTTTTTTTAAACTCTTTATTTCAATAGTTTTAGGGTCCACGACTGATTCTTCATGTGTGTCGTTAAATTTGAAATTTTTTTCCTTCAAAGGGCAATGGTAATCTATTGACTTTTTCGGAAGACATACCTTGCCACTCTCGAGCTCCCTGCCAAACCAACCAAAGTATCTCACAGAAGCCCAGAGTCCCTCTGCCCTCAGCTTCTCGGCCTATCAGATGTTAGCACTTGAAATATGCAGTCCTTGAGCCCTCCGTCAGCATGTTAAGGAGAAACGAACACAGGGGAAGAGTTCATATTGCTAAGGTGTACAGACGTTTGTACAAATTTATGAAAATGAGTGGAAGTTGTTTAGGGTTAGAAAAGTTTGGCACTGCAGTTACAGTTTAATTTGGAAATCAATAAACCTAGAATAGGTCACAATAAATAACATAGCTAGCTTAGGACATCTCAAAGTAATATAAGGCTGTTTACTTTCATTATCTCTTTCTTTTACAGTCTATCAATATTATGGAACTGACTTTACAAAAATACGGAAGTTATGAAAAATTCGAACAAGCCACTGGTGGTAGCTTGCTCTCTAAAACTCGAATCTGGAGTCACGTTAGGAAGTACATGATGAAGGAAGGCTGCCTAGGGGAGGTATGAATCGCGAGTAAACATGAGGAGTTACTGTCAGTGACAGTTGTAGTTTATTTTATTTTATTATTTTATTTTTTGAGATGGAGTCTCTCTCTGTCGCCCAGACTGGAGTGCAGTGGTGAATCTTGGCTCACTGCAACTTCCGCCTCCCGGGTGCAAGTGATTCTTCTGCCTCAGCCTCTCTAGTAGCTGGGATTACAGGCACCAGCCACCACACCCAGCTAATTTTTGTATTTTTAGTAGAGACAGGGTTTTTGCCATGTTGGCCAGGCTGGCCTTGAACTCCTGACCTGAGGTCATCCGCCTGCCTCGGCCTCCCAGAGTGCTGGGATTACAGGCGTGAGCCACTGCGCCCAGCCTAGTCGTCGTTCTTTTCTGTAGATTTTGTTTTCCCAACCCTATGTTACTCATTAAATTAGTCCCCCAGATTTCTTACTAAATACTGTAAGTCTTAAGTTCCTGTTGCATTGAATTGTTTTGATGTGTTCAGTGTCTTTTTGTTTTTCTTCTTACTGCCATTTCTGTATAACTTGTGGGATTAGATGAATTACTTTATGAAAATTGCTAATGAAGAGCTTTGCCCCAGAAGCCTCTCTTATTAGTCCTCTTAGTGGTCAGTCTCAAAGCCTTGGCACTGGCAATGAGCTGGATTCTGGCACCTGTATCTTCGTCTGCATCAGTTTAGCCAGGGAGCATATTTACGACATCTCAGAGGTACAATTTTAAGTCCTTCGTGTCTTCCTCAGCACAGCCATTTACTTTCCCTTAAACTCAGTGAAGGTTCTTGAGTTCCCAAAGGGTCAAAATTAGAAGGGTCACAGGTGATTTGGCTGCACATTCTATCTTGGTTTCTGGGAGATTTAAGGTGGTTATAAACAAAAAACAGTGTTAATTTATAGGCCCATTGTTTTCTGCGAAATTACCTTTATGTTATGTTTTATGTCTGTTTACTTTTTCTCTTGCTCATGTTTTATGTCTGTTTACTTTTTCTCTTGCCCCTTAGATTGTAGTTCATCTCACTGAGGACCTGCTTTCCCGAGCATCAATGACAGTAGTAAATGGATGTCCAACTCTGACTATCAATGTGTGCACTGCACGTGAGCATTGGCTGGAGGGAATGCTGAGGCATGAAATAGGTAGAGGCAATCCTTTCCATTTGTTTATTTGTAATATCAAGAAATAGCTCTAAAGAAATGTTTTTTTAGAATGAGTTTTAGTAGTGTTTATTTTATTTTCTTAGTAGAAGAAAATTTAGCAAAAAGTCATGAGCTTCACTTGGACTGAAGCTAATGTATTTATGTCTCATTTCAAATTAGATTTTTTAAGGGAAGTGTTTAGGTGTATTGAACCTGGAAAGTCATTTAACTGCTCTGGATTTCCCCTGCATTAAACTGAGGGGGTTGAATTCAGGTATCTTTGAGGTTCTTTTCAAATATCAAGTCTGTGATTCTTCCTTTCAAAAAGTAAATTGTTATAAAGGTGATACCTCCTCTCTTGAGACGTGATCCTTTTGAAGGCAGTGTACTCCTTCACACCCAAGAGATGTTAGGATCAGGTTATTTTCTACTTTGTTTTGATTTGTAGGCACACATTAATTTGGTTTTAGAGTTTATTTGGTTTTAGAGTTTGTTTGTTTGTTTTTTGAGATGGGATCTTGGTCTGTTGCCCAGTCTTGAGCACAGTGGCAGGATCTCAGCTCACTGCAACCTCTGCCTCCCAGGCTTAAGTGATCCCCTTCACCCCAGCCTCCTGAGTAGCTGGGACCCCAGGTGCACACCACCACACCCGGCTAATTTTTTGTATTTCTGGTAGACATGTTTCACCATGTTGCCCATGCTGGTCTCAAACTCCTAAACTCAAGTGATCTGCCTGCCTTGGCCTTTCAAAGTGCTGGGATTACAGGCATGAGCCACCGTGCCCGGCTGGTTTTAGACTTGTTGATGGAATCTGTCTTTGGGGGAAGAATTAAAACAAGAATGGCATTTCTTCTTCTTCATGTAACTTTTCTTCTCCATAGGTACACATTATTTTCGAGGTATTAACAACCTCCAGCAGCCATGGAACAGTTGGATTGGACGTAAAAAACATGAGCTGAAGCCAAATAATCCCACAGAGGAAGGACTAGCAAGCATTCACAGTGTTCTGTTTAGAAAAGACCCCTTTTTGTGGAGGGCTGCCCTCCTCTACTACACTGTTTATCGAGCCAGCCAAATGTCTTTTTGTGAACTCTTCAGAGATATTGGCAGGTTTGTCAAGGACCCCAATACAAGATGGGATTATTGTGTACGGGCCAAGAGGGGATGGACTGATACTTCCCAACCAGGTGGGTGTCCTTTAACTGCAGATTTTCTGACTTACTGACTAGTTGTCTAGTGATTTTGTAATCCCTGAATCACAAAATTCACTTACTTAAAAAAATTAAACCTTGGTTACCTGAGGTCAGAACTGGTTTTCCTAAACAGCATTTTCTTAGCATTATTTTTACCCAGCTCAATTTTGAAAAATCTCAGACCTATAGAATATGGAAAGAATAGTAGAATGAACACCCATCTACCCTTCATCTGTATTTACCTATTGTTAACATTTTGCTATTTTTGCTTTCTCTGTCTTTGACTTTTTAAAAACAGCTATACTGAGATATAATTCACATGCCATACAATTTACCCATTTAAAATGTAAAGTTCAGTGATTTTTAGAATATTCAGAGTTGTGCAACCATTACCATTGTCTAATTCCAGAATGTTTTCATTACCCCAAAAGAAACCCATACCCATTAGCATTCATTCCCCATTTCCTGCCCTGTGTCCGGTTCTAAGCAAATGAATCATCTCTAGATTTACCTATTTTGAACATTTCATATAAATAGAATTATCTAATATGTGATTCTTTGTGGTGGGCGTCTTTCAGTTAGGATGATGTTCTCAAAATTCATTCATGTTGTAGCATGTATCAGTATTTTGATCATTTTATTGCTGTGGGGCAATCTGTCCCTTAGCAAAGCTCAATCGCTGTGCTGGGAGATCCGCTGCTGTCTTCAGAGCCGGCAGGCAGGAACGTTTAAGTCTGCTGAAGCTGCGCCCACTGCCGCCCCTTCCCCCAGGTGCTCTGTCCCAGGGAGATGGGAGTTTTATTTATAAGCCCCTTACTGGGGCTGCTGCCTTTCTTTCAGAGATGCCCTGCCCAGAGAGGCAGAATCTAGAGAGGCAGTCTCTACTTTTTTTTTTTTGAGACAGAGTTTCACTCTTATCACCCAGGCTGGAGTGCAATGGTACGACCTCGGCTCACTACAACCTCTGCCTTCTGGGTTCAGGTGATTCTCCAGCCTCAGCCTCCCAAGTAGGGTAGTACTGAAGGCATGCACCGATATGCCCGGCTAATTTTGTATTTTTAGTAGGGACAGGGTTTCACCCTGTTGGCCAGGCTGGTCTTGAACTTCTGACTTCAGGTGATCCAGCCACCTTGGCGTCCCAAAGTGCTGGGACTATAGGCATGAGCCACCATGCCCGGCCTAAGAGTGTTTTTAAACTATTTATTTGGAGCTTGGTAAATACTTACTCAAAGTAGTGATGGTTATGTTGCTAGCACAGCCCACATTAACATTTCATACTAGTGTTGCATTCATATGACAGCGTAGTGCCTTAGAGCCAGGAGCAGGCAAGATAGGAAGCAGGACAGAGAAGGACATCTCTCTCTGTCTTTCATGTGTGCATAGCCAATTCCAGGCAGGATTTCAGATGAGCAACTTGTCTGCCATTTCTTAAAATACTCTTCTCAATACTCTTAGAAGAAAATTCATTGATATACTGAACTAACCTGAAATTCAAAATTACTTTTAAACAAATGTTTCTTAAATTGTACTCTTTTTTCAAGGGCATTTTTGAGTGTTCTTTTTAGATTCCTTTGCCTGGATTTTAGTACTCTGTACCCAGATGCACAGGGCTTCTATGTTGCCTTTGAGCAACCCGGTAGAGGCTCATCACTTTTAGACTAGTCCCTTTTTTCTTTTTTTCATATACTTTTGTGTTTTTCATGTTTTATTATGGAAAATTTCAAATGTATACAAAAGAATGATTAATATGCTGAACTCCAGTAATATATTACCTGATCATAGCTGTTATCAACATTGTCTAACTGTGGTCGTCTGTTCTTCCAAATTTGTTTCCTATAAGTATTTTAAAGCCAATTCCAACATCATGTTCTTTTACCCATAAATATTTCTGATTAGGACAATTTTTTAAATCATCCTCTTGCTATTAGCATACCTAACCAAATTAACAATAATCTCTTAATATATGACTCCATGTGGTAGAATTTTAATTAATTTAATAGAGCAAAAAATTTTTTTTAAATTGCACAAATTGTGTCAGGATGGGAAAAAGGTTTACTGTGTAAACAGAATATCCTTTTCTAACTAGGTTCAGATCTCATGAAATGTTCTACTTTTCATGTCTTTATCCATTTTTTTTCTATTTTTTAAACCTACATGCTTTCCAAAATCTAGTTCTAGTTCTTGTTTATATAGAGAGGAACCAATGTCAAAATTTATGCTTTAAAACCATAGTTTGCTTTTGTTTAATGGAGAGGAAGGATTATTAATATTATAAATACCAGGAGTTTCTAAAATCCTGCATCTCTCCACTACCTTTATTGAGATGTACCTGCTCTAAAACTATCTGGCTCAGGTCTCCCCACTCAGATGCCTTCAGTGCACAATGGGAGTTATGACTGAATGGTGGGAGTAGGGGAAGGTGGGATAATCATATTTATAAGAGTCATATATTTGAAATTACCAGTCTCTATTTATAATGAGGAAAGAATTGTTATTTTAATAATGGGGAGGATGTGTGAGGAGAAGGAATTCTTAAGGTTCTAGTCTGTATACCATCTTGGCACTTCTCAAGACCTGACATTTTATGTAATGAAGAAAGTTAAATAAAAATAAAAATAAATGTTGACAAACTAGAATATTTTTAATGCAGGACTGATTCTTACGGTAAATGGAATGGGTTGATATCTAATTACGTAGTAATTTTTCTAAACATCAGAAAGTAAACGCTATTCTGGTTCCTCCAGGGTGTTTTAGTAAAGACCAGGTATACTTGGATGGAATTCTTCAAATCCTTCGATACAGAGATACCATAGACTTCCATCTGCTTACTGCCCTCGGGAAGGTGAGTAGAAGCCATGGCGCATATCCCTGAACACACCAGATCAGCATTCCCCTCACTCGAGCTTAGCATTAAATAAGACTTAGCTTCACACTATTTTTACTTTATTGTCAGAACAAATTTTCTTTATGTCATATCAAGAGGGAAGAAATCTGGTTCTGTAATAGAACCAAATTATAAAATTTCTTTTTGGTCAATAAGAGATAAAGGAATAGGAAATTTGGGAATATATATTGTTTTATTTTTATTTTTATTTGTGTGTACATATTTTTCTAAAAAGCATTTTCTGAAAACTATAAAAGCATTTTGAAGTAAGCTGCACTTATAACACTTCCCCCGTAATGTCTCCTAAGAACAGAATATTTTCTGACATTACTATATGATTTTGTTTAAGAAATTTATTACTGATTAAATATAACATCTAAAATATAGTCCACTTCAAATTTTCCAAAGTGCCTCCAAAATGTCCTTTGTGGCTCCTTTTTTGTGATCTAAGATCCAGTCGAGATTTATACATTGCATTTGGTTATAATCTTTTCTCTCTTTTAATCTCCGCTTGCCTTATTCTTTCTGTTTTTTTCATGACATTGTTAAGACTTGGGCTGGGCAGGGTGGCTCACGCCCACAGTCCCACCACTTTGGGAGGCTGAGGTGGGAGGCTGAGGCAGGAGGATCACTTGAGGCCAGGAGTTTGAGAGCAGCCCGGGCAATATGGGGAAACCCTGTCTTTATAAAAAAATTTTAAAAAGTAGCCGGGCATGGTGGCATACACTTAGTCCCAGCTACTCAGGAAGCTGAGGTGGGAGGATTACTTGAGCCCAGGAGGTCGAGGCTGCAGTGAGCCATGATTGTACCACTGCGCTCCAGCTTGGGAGAGAGAGCCAGACCCTGTCTCAAAAAAAAAAAAAAGAAAAAAGAAAAAAAGATTGGCACAGTTTTCTTGAGAATTCCTACAATATGGATTATCAGATTATTTCCTTCTGATGAGATTCAGGTTAAACATTTTTGCCAAGAATACTACATAAGTGATGTGTATTTCCCATTGTATCACATTAGAAAGTATGTGTCATTTTGCTCCATTTGATCATCTGGGTGTTTGATCACCTGGGTTAAGTTAATGACCACCAGATCTCCCCATTGTAAAAGTACCTTTCCCCCATTGTATTAGTAAATAGTCTTTGGGGTGATATTTACGAATGGACTATTCCCTAATAACCCTTGATGATCTTTTCCCAAATCAATTATTACACTGGTGGTAACAAAATAGAGATCTTCTAATTCTTTTATATTTCTTTGTCACTCCCCGTTTTTGTAGTATTATTGTGGACTTAATTGGACTTAATTTTTTTTATTCAACTTTTTCATGGTTGCACCTGTGTCTTAAACATGTCTCCATGTTTTCTGACACAGTAAAATGTCTGGGCACAGTTTGTACTTTTCCTACCCAAATCTCTAATGAAGATCAGCCATTTCTCTAATGAAGTCTTATTTCCTTTTAATTGAAACAAAAATAGAAAAATTAGAAAAATTAGCTGCATAATTGTGCAATTTTTCTAATCTAATAATATGTCATTTATATTCTAGTTATTTTCTTGATTCTTTTATTTCAATTTAGCCAGAAGACTTGTTTGGTTTTAGAGTCTCTCTCACACACAAATATATTAAGTATAGTTGTCTAATTTTTAGACAAACAGTAGGTTCAAGGTACAGTATTAAATCAAATTTGACTTTTTAAAATAATCTTTTAGGCCGGCCGTGGGCTGGACTCACACTGTGTGAATTCCAGCACTTTTGCGGAGGCAAGGGGTGGGTGGGCGTAGATTCACCTGAGAGGTCAGGGACGTTTTTCTCGAGACCAGACGCCTGGGGCTAATGAAACGCATTCTCTTACTAAAAAATTTTTCAAAAAATTAAGGCCAGGTGTGGATGGCGGGGGGTGCCTGGCTTAATTTCCCAACTACCAGGAGGCTGAGACAGGGAATTGCCTGAAACCCGGGGAGGCGGGGGATGGGTGTGCCAAAGGAGGCCAAGATCATGCCCGACTGCTACTCCCAGGCCTTCGGCAACAAGAAGAAACTCATCTCACTTTGAAAAAAAATAATAATAATACTTCTTTTAATTTATGCCGTCATAGGTATTAAGGGCCAGAGATAATACATTATTATTTAACACAGTGAAAGAAAATGGTAAGGGTCACTGCATTTTTTGTTATTTTTGCAGCTATTAAAACTAATTTTTGGACACATGGTGATCTGCTATACTTTCATTAAGGGCCCAGGGCGGAAGAGAATCTCAATCCTTAATAATGTAGCATTGGTAGTTACATTTTTAAAATTAAACTCATCTTCCTTTCTTCAGGGTGTTCTATGAAGATGTGGGGAGGTGCGCCTTAAAAGCGATGTTGGGCAGTTTTACCGAAAACATGAGGGTCCCTCAGCTTCCTGCAGGACCAGATGCCCGGTACGTATAATGGGAACACTTATAGGATAGATCGATGCGAAGTGAATGAACTGGGGACTGACAGGGGAACTGGGAAAGGATCTCGGGTTTATCAGTAATTAGCGGGTTGCTGGCAAACATAGCTAAGGGCTGATTGGCCTCCGATGTGATGATTACCAGTTAGGTGCAGGTTAGCCACCAGGAAGATTTTATAAAAGGAAGTAATGGACTATCTTGTGTTTCTAAAGGAAGGTTTTCAGTTATAAGCGGAATTTTAGGTTAAAGTACAAATCTTAAACTATTTCCCTAAGAATCGTTTCTATAGTGGTGCAGGGGGAAGTTACTCCTAATTTTGGAATCTCGACAGGGTCAGATGAAAAACTTACTTGCTGAGCATTTGTTTTGTGAAGACTTGTTGGTCAAAATTGGCATGGATAAATTTCTGCCTGAGCAGCTAAAGCACTGCCTAGTGTTCTGGCCTAATTTATGGGAGGTCAGCTCAACTCGGGGGACGGCTGAATTCCGATTGCTGCTTCAACTCCAAAGTTATATTTATTTTGCATAAATAATGGTAATTATTTCTCCTTGAAAAAACTGAGTTTTGTGCTTACTCCAAAAACGCTAGCTATATTCTAAGCTCCTTATTTTTTTTATGATGTTAGGGAAATTTAAAGGAGAGGGAAAAGGGCAAAGGTGAAAATTTTTCATTAGAGTGTTTTATTTTAACATTATTATTTCACCTTATCAGCTTATAGGAACTAAATTAGAGAATCACTCTTTTTGTCCACTTATCTGTCTTACTACATTTTCATTTGCTGAAAACATATTGTACCCTTTTAAATTTTTTACAGGGGAGTTTTAACGTCTTTTCACTGCGTCCTTTATAAAAATGATAAGTACAAATTCCAAAGGAGGTTTTTCCTACACAAAAATAACTGGGGAAGGGCCACTCACCTTTTTTATTAAACAGAACGTGTAACAAGCAGAGGGACAAAATAGACTGATCTGGTTAAATGGAGGCTCTGGAGTGTTGGAGATGGGTAGCACCTACAGTAACTTGACCATGCTCTGAAAATGAAATTTCTGGGGTGTTGATGGTTTATAAAGCCAGCTTTTCGTGCTATTCGTTCAGTATATTTTTATTAAATCTTTGACTTCATCAACCCAGTAATGACTAGTTTAAATTTAAAAAATGAGAGTTCTGTTTTGCTATATTTTTCTCTGCTAACCTACCTTTGTATTTTATCAGCCTTCAGTATATACTTGGATATATATACCTGGATTTCAAATGGTTCTTCATACAACTTAATGATCAGAAAGAATGCTGCTGTTAAACACCCCACTCAAGATTTGCTGCTGTAATTTCTACCCAAAGCTGTCTGGAGAGTTTATCTTTACCTCAGTGCAGGTTAAAAATAATGGTGCTAATTACTGGTAGATATATACTGTGAAGCGTGGTTCACATTCATGCTAGAAATGATTGGGAATCTTTTGCAGGAGAGGTTAACATGATTTTCTCTTTCACATCAGTAGAAGGACTTGCCTCAAAGAAGAATGGTTGCAGCAAACAGGATACATACTCTAGCCGAGTGCCCAAAGGTTCTTGCAAAAACTATGAATCTTGCTTTTAGCACTAGAGGGCCAGACACTTTTGGTAGCATTGACAGGACGCATTTAGCCCCTACTCCCCAACTACGTGCCATGCTGGGTAGTGTGTGTCCTGTACATCTGTGTGCCAGGCTGGGGCAGACTGTGCCAATGCTCACCAAACACTAGAATCTGCTCTTAAACCTCTAGCATGTATCTCCTTGTAGCAGAGTCATGCACTTTCTCAGCATTGTGTAGTGTTTTCTAATTTCATCTTAAAACTTACCAAAAGTGATTGTGAAAACAGTGTCTAGAAGTATAAACAGAAATGGCAATATTTATGTCCTGTGATTGAAGCCCAAAGGTTATAAATTCAACTTTCACAGGGAATAGCACTGCTAATCTTACTTTATGGTTTAAATATAAAGGAAAATCACAACAGCCTTAATTTCCTATTGGTAGGATCATTTGCAGCGGTTCTAGTTCCTGACTTTTAAAATGGATGAATATTTTCTCTTTGATTTGGAAAAGGAACTGCTTTTTTGCCTTACTGCTTTGGTATAAAGATGAAAAACATGAGCACTCTGCAGACAAAATGACCTTAAATCACATTGATAAAGATATTTTAAAAGTTAGCAGTGAACCAAAAGTAGTTTCAGATTAGCAGAAATAAAGAGCTTTAAGCTTTAAAAGTTGAGATTAAATATTTAATGAAAGTTTATTAATTCTTTTTCCAAAAATAGCAGTAAGGTCAGTTTTTTCCCTAAAATAAAAAGTTTTAATAAACTGAAAATTATAGCAACAGTACTTAGGAGAATAGTTGAAGATTGTATTAATTTTAATTACAATAGTTATTTGTCATAGGCTATTGATGATTAGAATTTCATTAGTTTTGTCCACTGTAGTTTTAAAAATAGTTGTATCAGATACAAATACTGATAAACTGTTAGGTTTTAACACCAGACAGGATTCAAAGGAAATTAATGTTTGCAAACATAAATCCATAGTCTTCATTTCTTTATATTTTCACCTTTGTAAAAGTGTTTAAAGTTTGTATTGTTTGTTTTGTATATCTTTGGGCATTTTTTGTCTAGCTATAATAAAAAGAAATAGTGCCAAGGTTCTCAGATGAAGTGTGTGACTATATATGCATGTAACTTGTTTTCTTTGAAAACCCAATTATATTTGTATTGTGGTGTTTCTTGCTTTTTATTTTGTGATAATTGTCAAAAGGACATTAATTATGCTTGTCTTCTAGTGCTGTTACTTCTTAGAAAAATATTATATTTACCACACTTCACCTTTTCCCTAGTTATTTTAGCTTATACTCTCATGGGACATATGGAGAAAAGAAAAGGAGAGAGGTTGTATTAGTCTATTCTCATGCTGCTAATAAAGACATACTTGAAACTGGGTAATTTATAAAGGAAAGAGGCTTAATGGACTCACAGTTCCACATGGCAGGAGAGGCCTCACAATCATGGTGGAAGATGAAGGAAGAGCAAAGTGGCGGCGGGCAATAGAGTATGTGCAGGGGAACTACCTTTTATAAAATGATGAGAT